TCAGCTGTCAAATCAGCTACAGAATTCATCCAAGACATCATTCATTGTGAGCTAGTTGGAACTATGTCAGGGATACAAGGACTGCTCAACATTGGGAAAACAATCAATGTAATTAATCATATTAAAAACAAAAACATACTAAATCACATGTTTATTTCAGTAGATGCAGAAAAGGCTTTTGTCAAAGTATAGCACTCACTGATGCTTAGTAAATAATATTCTATAATGTACTGGCATAGAGGAACCTTTCTTAATATCATAAAAAGTTTGTATCTAAAAACAAAAGCAAACATTATAAACAATGAAAATACACTAGAAGCTTTAAATTTAAAAAAAACTAATGATATAAAGCAAGGATACATACTCTACCCACTATTATTTGATCTAGCTCTGGAAGTATTATTAATAAGGCAAGAGAAAGAAATTTAAAAGGCTTAAAAATAAAGAGGAGGAAAAACTATTGCTATTTGCTGATAACATAATGGTTTGCTTAGAAAACCCTAGGAAATCAGCAAAAGTACTGAGATAATAGCTTCAGAAAAACTTTCAGGCTACAAAATAAACCCTGAAAAATCAACATTATTTCCAAATAATAATTTTTAAATCCATGAGGCAATAATAGAGGGCAAAATGTCATTCCAAGTAACTACAAAATGGATAAAAATTAGGGGTCAGAGGGAATCAATCTACCAAAGCATATAAAATGCTTATGTGGATTCAACTACAAAGTACTCCTTAAGGAAATAAAGAACAAGTAACCAGAGAATTTTCAGTGCTCACAGTTGGACTATGTCATTATAACCAAAATTGTAAGACTATCAAAATTAATTTACACTTTTAATGCTATACCCTTGTGCAGAATTCATTAAAACAGTTAACAAAATTCATTTGGAAAAGCAAAAGATCTACAATATCAAAGTAAATAATAAAAATAATGTAAGAAAGAAAAGCAGAATAGCACTTCCAGACCTCAAACTATATTATAGCAACAGGCACCAAAACCATCTAGTACTGGATCTTTGAAAAGTCTAGACAACAGAGAATCAGAAACAATGGAACTTGATTACTCAGTGACTGATAAAACAAAAAACACAAATTACTTAGAAAAAATACTCATTTGATTTTAAAAAACTGCTGGAAAAACTGGCAAGCAGTTTGGCAAAAATTAAGCTTAGAGTTTCTGGGAACCAAGATGACAGAGTAAGCAGCAAGTTGCTGTAACTCTCCCATATGCACCTCCAAGCAACCAACCATAAAACTGCCCCAGAACAGATCCTGGAACAGCAGAGCCAGCAGAAAGATGGTGTAGAGAAGTCTTTTAGCCTGGGGGACTTGGAGGATCAGTAAGAAATGTCCATTTCACTTGGGTAAAAGCACATTCTAGGATAGGAAATGTCCCAGCAAACCCTATCTCAGCAAACCACTGGGAAATCCTGAGCCCCAGTGCAGTGGAGCAGGCAAATGCTAACCATGGGACAGCTGTGTGCCTTAGCATAGCCAGGGGATCCAGTAGACTCCAACTCCAAGAACCACCACACGTTTCAGTACAGTACTAGGAGGCAGGTGCCCTGTGGTAGCCAGACCTTTGAGCAGTTCAGTGTTGCCCCAAGCAGGAGTCTTACAGCAACTGGCCATCCACATGCTTTGGCATGGCTCCAGGCAAGCAGATATCCTCCAGCAGCAGAACCTCCATGTGCTTCAGCCAGTCCAGGACAAACAGGCATCCTCCAGGGGCCAGACCTCCACATGCTTCAGTGTAGCACCAGGAAAAATGCAGAAAAACCTCAGCAGGCATCAGTACACATCAGACACTACCACTAGGATCCCAACTCAGCACCAGGTAAACAGCCAGACACCTATAGCCTCCAGAAGCACCAGTCTATCCTCACCCCACCCCTGCAGTACAGCACCAGACTTGAGGGTCTCCCATGGGCCTCAGGGCAACATCAGTACAGCACCAGGTAAATAGCCAGGGCCTGCATCCACTAGCACAAGAAGCCTGAGACAGTGCCCCTTCTACCCCAGGAGCAGAGATCAAACTTAAAAGAAAAGAAGAAGGCCAAAAAAGGGGGAGAGGAATGAGCAGAAAGTAACAAAAAATAATCTGATCATAGAAAGTTATTGTGGTGACAGGACGACCAAGACACAAACTCAGAAGAGGACAACAATGTCCAAACACCTATGGGCAAAACACCAAAGAAAAACAGGAAGTCATCTCAAACTCATAGATAGAAAGAACTCAAAGAAGAGCTCAAAAGGAGCTTAAAAATCATATAAGAGAAGTAGAAGAAAAATGGGGGCCAATTTTATTCTTTAAGGAGTTGTTTTCTTAAGTGGATTTTTGTATGGCCTTTTCCATTTGGCCAATTCTACTTCTTAAGCAATTTTCCAAGCTATTGAGGCATTTTTCATAATTCTCTTGCATCACTCTCATTTCTTTCCCCCACTTTTCTTCTACCTCTCTTATATGAGGGGCAGGTAGGTGGTGAAGTGGATAGAGCAATGGCCCTGGAGTCAGGAAGACCTGAGTTCAAATCCAGTCTCAGACCAGACATTTGACACTTACTAGCTGTGTGACCCTGGGCAAGTCACTTAACCCCAATTACCTCGCAAAAGAAAAAAAAGAAGAAATTATCAAGAAAAACTGCCCTGATGTCCTGGAACCAGAGGGCAAAATAGGCATTGAAAGAATCCATTGATCACCTCAGGAAAGAAATCCCAAAATAAATACCCTAAGGAATATTATAGTCAAATTTCAGAACTATCATGTCAAGGAAAAAAATACTACAAGTGGCTAGAAAAAAACAACTGAAATATCAGAGAGTCACAATCAGGATCACACAGGAATTGGCAGCTGCATCATTAAAGGATCAGAGGTCATAGAACATGACATTCTGGAGGGCAAAGGAGCTAGGACTACAACCAAGAATCACATACTCAGCAAAATTAAGCAATTAATGGGGGGGGGGGGGAAATGTCATTCAATGAAATCGAAGGATTTCAAGCCTTCATAAGAAGAAGACCAGAACTAAACCAAAAATTTGACCTCCAATATCAAGACTCAAGAGAAGTGTAAAAAGAGAAAAGAAAACATAAAGGATTCAATAGAGCTAAACTGTTTATATCCCTGCATGGGAAGATGATACTTGTAACTCTTAAAAATTGTATCACTAACAGTACAGATAGAAGGAATAAACACAGTGTATCGGAATTTGAGGTGCATTTGAGGGAATGACATAAAAAAAGTAAGGAATGAGAAAGAGGAGTAAAATGGCTGCAGAAGGAAGAAGAATGGGGTAAATTATCTCACATGAAGAGGCAAGAAAGACCCATTACAATGGAAGGGAAGATGGGGAGAGGTGATGGCCATTACTTGAACCTTACTTTCATCAGTATTGGCTCAAAGAAGGAATAATATACACAATCAGATGAATATAGAAATCTGTCTTACCCGACAGGGAAGTAGGAGGGGAGAAAATTAAATAAAGGAAGTGGGGATGGAGACTGACAGAAGGGAGGGCAGATCAAGGGAGGGAGTAAACAGAATCAAAAAATTTTTGATGTGGTCAAGGATGAAAGGAGAGAGATGACAAACAGGAGGAAGAATAGGTTGGAAGGAAATACACAGGTAGTAATCATAGCTGTGAATGAGGTGAACTATCTCATAAAATGGAAGTGGACAGCAGAGTGGATCAAAAATCATTATTCTACAATAGGCTGATTACAAGAAACAAACTTGAAGCAGAGAGACACACACAGAGTAAAGGAAAACCTGGAAAGACTTGTACAAACTGATGCAAAGTGAAATGAGCAGAACCAGGAAAACACTAGACACAGTATCAGCAACATCACGTGATGATCAACTATGAATGACTCAGCTTTTCTCAGCAACACAATGGTCCAAGACAAGTACAAAGAACTCATAAAGGAAAATGCTATCCATATCCAGATAAAGAACTGATAGCCTCTGAATGAAGAGCGAAGCATATTTTTTTCACTTACTTTATTCTTTCTTGTGTTTTTGATTTTACTTCTGATCTGTTTTTTCTTCCACAACTGTGATGAATATGGAAATATGTTTTACATGATAGCATGTGTATAAACTATATCAAATTGCCTACTGTTCTCAAAAGAGGAAAGGGAAGGAGAAAAATTTGGAACTCAAAATCTAGTAAAAATGAATGCTAAACATTTTCTTGATTTGTAATTGTGGGAAAAAATAAAATACAATTTAAAGCAAAAATAAATAAATAAAAACACTGTTAAAAAATAGGCTTAGATAAAACCTTACACCATATTCCAAAATACATTCTAAATGGAGATGTGACCTTAATCCTATCATTAAAAAATTAGAAATTATAAACTTTTCACAGCTATAGACAGGAGATGTAGTTTAACCAAACAAGGGATAGAAGTAATTACAAAAGATAAAATAGATAATTTTGATTACATGACACTGAAAGGCTTGGTACACAAAAAATTTATAGAGAGAAAATAAAAAGGGAAACAATAATAAGGGTTATTTATATGTATGTATATAGCAGATCAACTTCCAGTGGCAGATAGGGTAAAAGTTTTCCCAGAATTTACCAAGGTAATATATTAACTTTGATACTACCATTTCCTATTAATTAATTTAATATTGGTTTCCTTATAAGAAATTTCACCTCATATTTAACCTACCGGCTTTTTGATTTGGTACTAGCATGAGTACTACTGTCATCCACTAGGTAATGTGCAAAGGCAAACATCTCAGAGACACAATTAAGTACCAGAATAGGACTTTAATGAAGGGCACTAGGCAGATAAGAACAAAAAAGAAATGACTGTAGTTCTGTTATCAGAAACAGCTGAATAAGAATTGCTATGTAGAAAAGAGGAGGGGAAATTAAAGGAAACAGAGAAGAAATGTATAATTAGAGAAGGTAAAGGAAGGATAAAAATGAGAGCCTTCAAAAAGGATATAAAAATATATTAAATAAGAGATTGGTACAACTTGCCTTTATTTTTATGTGTTATTCCTAATGATAAATCAGGCATCATCCATAGTAAAATCACAGCATATAAAAGAGGTTTTCCCATCTGTTTGAACAAATAAGAGTCATTTTCACTAAATTGCCCTAATCATATCCCTACTATTATTGCTACATAAGTAAACTTCAGTTAACAAAAGGAGTTTTTAAGTTTTAAGTTCCTCAAAATACATGTTTGAAGCAGGCACTTTAATACTTGATCAAATTGGATTCACTTTGGTTTTCCTTGCTATCCCTGAAATGAATGGAGCTAAAAAAATAAAATAAAATAACAACAACAAAAAAAAAACATGAAAAAGAAAATCCTAGCCCAGAATTTCCTTCCACCTAAGTAACTCTTGGAAGAGATAAACAATTTTAATTGTAGTTTCATTGGGGCTCTGAGACTTATCCAGATATAACTGTATCTACTATATTAGTTGAACTGACTGCTCAGTTAAATTAATTTTTTTCACTCAGTCCTCTCAAATTTCTTCAAATATCTTCTATTGATGCCTCATGAATCATTTTCAGTTTATTTTGTCCATTTGAAATTGTAATTAAACTACATAGAGGCAACTAGGGACTGGAGTGAGGAAGACCTAAGTTCAAATCCAGCCTCAAACACTTATTAGCCATGTGACTCTGGGCAAGTCACTTTACTTCTGTTTGCCTCACTTACCTCATCTGTAAAATGGGAATAATAATAGCACCTATCTCCCAGAGTTTTTGTGAAGATCAAATGAAATAAGTGAAACATAAGCACAGTGCCTAGCATATAGTAAGCACTATATAAATGTTAGCTATTACTATTGTCAAACTATAGCTTGAGATTTATAATCATACCACAAGTCCTTCTTACCATTATAGTACACAGCCACCTTCTTCACCCTCTTTTAAATCTGACCAGTTTTCTTCCTCATAGGACAAGAAAGATCTTAAACCCCACAGCCTGAGTTTCTACAGTGGAGCAGTTGGGTTGTCTATATCACCATGGTCAACAGTCGGTCAACTTTTCCCTAGTACAGAGAAGAACAGGAAGATTCCAAGGAGGGACAGTTGGAACTTCCAACTGTCTTTTGCAAAGCACCATTCAAAATACCAGTGGAAAGTATCATTTCCTCGAAATCAGCTACTTATAAAGAATCCGTCTGATGAGGCCTGAGCAACCTACCTGGCAATAGGCTATGATAAGTTAGCTGATCAGAACCTGATTATCTGAGTGATAAGTAATAATTTTTTCTTGAAAAATGTATACAAAAAGTATGATACCCATCCTTCTTGACCTTTCCAAAGTATATGACACTATTGACCCACCACTTCCTACTGGATACTCTTTCCTTCCTGTATTTTCATAACACTACTCTCTTCTGTGTCATGTGACCAACAAACAAAAAAGTATTAGACATTTCCAGAAGAAAAAAATGGGGTGGTGGGATTATACACCAAAGGTAGAAAAAATATATACAGCTAAATCCATAGGTCAAGAAAGCAGCTCAATATTAACAATCTTATGAATTAACAATGGAGAATACTAACTCATAACATGTTCACTCAATACTTTTTTTTTTTTATACCAGTCTCAAAACCCCAGCACAGTGCACAAACTAACTCTTACTCATGTATTAACCACCTACTCCAGGGTCTGTGGTGCCCTCAACTCCTGTCCTTCTCCCAATAAACTGTTTCAATGAGAAAGGCTCTGCCCAGCCACATGAAGAGGAGGGGACAAACCATCCTTCCCTTTATGTGAGGCAGGTTAGGGAACCCCAACATGGCAGAAATTCTGTCCGGAGTACCCATCCCTTCTTCTCCTAATGTTGTAAAAATCTATAGATACTGATTGGGCCCAGTTACAAAACTAAAGAACTAGAGAAGTAGAGAGTGTGTGGATGCATTGGGCCTGAAGGAAAAGGTACAAGAATCTACTTGTAGTCAGTTATTCCGCCAAGAAGATGCTTGGTACAGGGACCTGGTCAAAAAGTAACACACCCTACCCAAAGTGGAAGAAGGCTTATGTAATCTTTTGCATCAGTCACAGGGGGAAACATATCATCAAAAGAGGGAGAATCAGAAAATAAGCAATTCAGGAGAATATATGGAAAAGTAAGTAAAAACACAAAATATTTGAAGAGAACAAGATTCAGTTAAAAATTGAAAGCACTGGGGTAGCTAGGTGGTGCAGTGAATAGAGCACTGGCCCTGGAGTCAGGAGGACCTGAGTTGAAATCCGGCCTCAGACACATAATACTCACTAGCAGTGTGGCCCTGGGCAAGTCACTTAACCCCATTGCCTAGCAAAAAAAAACAAAATAAAAAAGTTGAGAGCATAATGTGTGACTCTGGGCAAGTCACTTAACCCTGATTGCCTCACCTAAAAAACAAAAAAAAGAAAAAGAAAAGAAATTGAGAGCACAAGCAGACAAATCAACAAGGAGGATACTTAAAATTAGATGAGAAGTTAGCTACAAAGATAGTTTACAAACCTATTTAAATAAATATTGCTAGGCAAAGGAAGGGCAGCTAGGTGCCACAGTGAATAAATAAAGCACTGGGCCCAGAATCAGGAAGACACCGTCCTGAGTTCAATTGTGTCCTGGGATGCTTACCAGCTGTGTGACCCTAGGCAAGTCACTTAACCCTATTTGACTCAGTTTCCTCACCTGTAATGACAAACCACTCCAGTATCTTTGCCAAGAAAGTCCTAATGGAATCATGAAGAGTCAGATGCAACTGAAATGACTGAACAGCAACATAAAGGAGATGGAAGCAATATCAGATGAAATCTACAGAAACGAAAGTAATCCTATGGATTCCCAAGAGAGTATGAAACTGCAGAAGGATATTACCATATGGTTAAAGGAGAACTCAGAATCAGGAGAGTAGCTAGAAAGGAACAAATGGCAGAATTTATGGCCTGCACAGCTGAAATAATTAGCAGAAGAGAAAAACTTAATTCCCGAGTGGCAAGACTCTGCAAGAGGGAACATGACACTGGAAGTGCAAATATGCAGAAGAGGACAATCTGGAATGAATTGAGAGGAAGAAGAAAAGCAAAAAGAAATAATGTTAGAAGAAAATATGATCTCTGTTCAAATAAAAGTCATTTATCTCAAAGACAAGCAGCAGAGACACAATTTAAAAATCAAAGAACATGAAAAGTCAGAAACCTGAACACCATAGTGTAAGAAATAATACAAGAAAATTGCCCAGAATTTATGAATACAGAAAGAAAAGCACCAGTCAAAAGAATCTACAGATTGCCTCCAGAAAAAAAAAAATCTGTATTTCAAATTGCAAGACACATAGTGGTTAAATTTAACGATTATAATGACAAATAACAAATTCTGTAAATGACCCAGAGAAAGACTTCAAATAAAAAGGAAATATAATTCAAATAACACAAATCTACTCTACACTGATGAGATATTGTGAAAGAGAAATAAAGAATATATTCAGAAAAGCAAAGAACTTCAAAATGCAACCTAATCCAATAAAAGAGAGGCATTTGAATAAGTCCTAAAAGCAGTCAAAGCTCCTTCTTCCAAAGCCTCCAAGAAAAATATGAATTGGTCTCAGGCCATGGAAAAACTCAAAAAGGATTTTGATAATCAAGTAAGAGAGGTAGAGGAAAAACTGGGAAAAGGAATGAGAGGGATGAAAGAAAATCATGAAAAACAACTCATCAGCTTGCTAAAGGAGACACAAAAAAATACTGAAGAAAATAGCACCTTAAAAAACGGACTAGGCCAAATGGTAAAAGAAGTCCAACAAAGCCAATGAGGAGAAGAATGCCTTAAAAAACAGAATTGGACAAATGGAAAAGGAGGTACAAAATCTCACTAAAGAAAATAATTCTTTAAAAATTAGAAGGGAGCAAACGGAAGCTAATGACTTTATAAGAAATCAAGAAATAATCAAACAAAATCAAAAGAATGAAAAAATAGAAGACAATGTGAAATATCTCACTGGAAAAACAACTGACTTGGAAATTGGATCTAGGAGAGATAATTTAAAAATTATTGCACTATCATGATCAAAAAAGCCATGATTAAAAAAAAAAAAGCCTGGACATCATCTTTCAAGAAATTATCAAGGAAAACCACCCTGATATTTTAGAACAAGAAGGTAAAATAGAAATGGAAAGAACCCACTGATCACCTCCTGAAAGAGATCCCAAAATGAAAACTGCCAGGAATATTATAGCCAAATTCCAGAGCTCCCAGGTCAAGTAGAAAATATTCTAAGCAGCCAGAAAGAAATAATTCAAGTATGGTGGAGCCACAATCATGATAACACAAGATTTAGCAGCTTCTGCATTAAAGGATCAGAGGGCTTGGAATATGATATTCCAGAAGGCAAAAGAGCTATGTTTACAACCAAGAATCACCTACCTAGCAAAACTGAGTATAATCCTTCAGGGGGAAAATGGACATTCAATGAAATAAAGGACTTTCAAATATTCTTGATGAAAAGACTAGAGCTCAATAGAAAATTTTACTTTCAAATACAAGACTGACAAGAAGCATAAAAAGGTAAACAGGAAAGGGAAATCGTAAGGGACTTAATAAAGTTAAACTATTTGCATTCCTGTATTGGAAGATGATACATGTAACTCATGGGAACTTTCTCATCATTAGGGCAGATAGAAGTATGTGTAGACAGAGTGCACAGGTGTGAGTTGAATATGAAGGGATGATATATAAAATTTTTTTTAAAAATAAAATCAAGAGAGGCATGTGCTAGGAAAAACAGAAAGGGGGAGGTAGAATGTGGTAAATTACCTCCCATAAAAGGAGCAAGGAAAAGCTTTTACAGAGGGGGGAAAGAGGGGGAAGGTGAAGGGGAATGAGTGAACCTTACTCTCATCAGAATTGGCTCAAAGAGGGAATAACATACAGTGTATATCATACATACTCATCTGGGTTTAGAAATCTATCTTACCCTACAGGAAAGTAGGAGGTGAAGGGGATAAGAGAAGGAGTGGATGATAGAAGGGAGTGTATATTGGGAGAGGGGTAGTCAGAGGGACAGAGTGAAAGGAGAGAGAGAATAGAATAAAGAGGGGAG